GCGACCGGGTGGGTAGATGAAGTTCCAGGGGAACAGCATTTATCTAAAACTTACCCCCCAAATAATACAAGAAATCCTCGTAGATTAGGAAATAGCAGTATTCATACGGGACTGTGTGGGTACGAACACCCGTCGTATCCCCCGAAGCTCGCCCTCTGCTGCCCAGGCGCAGCCTCTGTGCCTGGCTCTGGGCCCCAGGGTGGTCATGTGTGTCTCGCACATGCAGGTGCTGTCCCACCACGGTGCAGGGCTGTGCGCCCGACTTTACCGGCACTGATGCTTTGCTGCCCAGAGCAGGGACGACAGAAGGAAAGGACGCCTCTGGGGTCCGCTGGACTTGCCTTGGGCCCTGCCTCCTGTGCTCTCTGCTTCTTCCTCAGTGAAGTGGAGGTGCTGGTGCGTCCTTCCAGGTCTGGGGGTTCCCTGAGCGCTGGCCTCCGCAGCCCCGACGGCCTCCGGGGACCCCCTGTGCTGACTGACCCCTCCGGCCTCGTGTGGACAAAGGAACAGACCCGGGAGGAGGGGGAGGGCATGGTGGTGAGACACCCCTAGGGTCCTCCTGTGGCCTTGCCAGTACCTCTGGCGGTGGCTTCTCGCCTCTGAGCCTGTTTCCCGTCTGAAGGATGAGCACGGTGGTGGCACGCAGGTGTTTGTGTAGCGAGGGCGGAGTGCTTTCTGAAGTGGTTGGCATGGGCGTGGCGGTGAGTTCTGTGGCACTTTTCGAGGAACAGCTGAGGGGCTGCGAGGTGAGTGCTGGCCAGTTCCCCGACCAGTCTTCCTGGGGCAGCACCTTGACCGGAGGGACCATGTCTGAGTCTTATCCTCAGCCTCTCAGAAACGGGACTTTCCTCAGAAGCCACGCTGTGGGGGAATGTCACCTGGCGGCAATTTTTTACGAAAGTACCTGGAGAGCCCTGCCCGGTACCCTGCGCCCGGTACCCTGCGCAAGGCTCCGTCCGCCCTGGCCTTGCACAGGGTACGGAGGTGCTGAGGCACCTGTGCAGCCCCTCAGGGGGCCCCGGAGTAGGGGGTGGTCAGGGTCAGCAGGCGAGCCCCAAGATATGGAGGAGGCCTCAGAGAAAGCACGGATCCTTGGAGCTTGGGTGTCTGCTGGCAGCTGCATCTCTGCACACCCTAGGGACCAGTCCCCACTGCAGGATCCCAGCTCAAAGGATGGCTGTGAGGCCTGGGAGATAACCTGGGTTTGGGTCTTCCTTGGAAATCCAGGGCAGGCCGCCTGTCCCGGTGACAGGGCCCCGAGGATGAGTGGGGTCATGAACAGTAAGCGCCGGGCACAGTCTCAGGCCGCTAGAAGACGTTTAGTAACTGCAACTCGAGCCTGACTCTGAACTTGAACTTGCTCACCCCAGCCTCGGGCGTTCCTCCTTGGGATCGATGCAAGGGCTACTTAACTCTTCCCTTAGACGTTTATCACAGCACTGCCGAGCGCTGGGCCTCGCATCACGTGCTGGGGACACAGAGTGAGCAAAACTGGGCCGGCCCACGGTCTGGGGAGGGAGCCGGAGGTCAGCCCCGCATCTCGCTGAAGTAGAGTTACAGATAGAGAGGAAACAGGGTTTTATGACAGCGCTAACAGAGGAACCTTCCCTCTGCAGAGGAAGTGACACTCAGCTGAAGGCTGGATAGAAGGCACCTGGACTGGGGGTGGGGACCATGGTCCAGGGCAGAAGGAGCAGCCTGTGCCCGAGTGGGCATGGTGGGCGCAAGGAGCTGCGGCTGGGCGCTCTGGAAGAGGGGACAAGGTGCACCTGGAGGTGGGCAGTAAGGGGTTTGGTTCTTCAGCCTAAGAACGGCGGAGCATCACAGGGCTGGGCCTCGCAGAGCTCAGGTCGCTGGACAGGGTTGCAGAGGGGCAAGGGTGGGCCCAGAGGGCGGTTAGGAGGGTGAGGGTGGCCGTGGACATGGAGCGTTGTTACGGACTAGGGAGCTTTTGAGAAGGTAGCAGCCACAGGACCCAGGGCAGCCTGGGAGGCCCGCCTTCCCGTGCCCAGCACCTGAGGGGCACAGAGCTCCTGTCCGCTTCCTGGCTGGCCCGACAGCCTGCGGCACGGGACACCAGCGCCTCGTGCCGGGCCCCCGTCCACTTGTTTGAGTCCCCGGGCTGCGTCCTGCCTGCCCGCCCTGCTCTCCACGGTCAGCGCTCCTGCTCTCTGACTGCGCCCATTTGCTGTGTCTCCCTCTGGGTGGTGGCCCGCCTACCACTGGAGGCCCAGAGTGAATGCACTTCCTGGCTGGCTTACGGTAGGGAGGGGGTGTGAAGTGGGCCCCGCTCGTTGCAGGCGTCAGGTGGAGAAGAGCGGAGACACGAAGGAGTGCTGGGCTGACCCAGCAGCCGCAGGTTCCGGTAGTGGCTTCTCCTGAGGCCTGCAATGTCGGCCTGCCCACCGGCCCCACCGGCCCTCCAGCACCCTTTGCCCAGGAGCCCCACCGGCAGCTCCCCCTTCCCCAGCGCGGGCAGCGGAGGGGAACGAACACGGTTAAGAGGTTCATCTCCTGCTTCACTAGTCGGCTTTCATGAATAAACGTCCGTGGGCTTCTGTGACCCCTGCCTCTGCCCTGTGAGCTGGCCGTAGGGTAGTTACCGCAGCCAGGTTTTCTGTACGTCCTGGCTTTCCACCGTGTCTGGTTGGGGGAACCGGGAGGCCCTACCAGCCATGCCACCCAGCCACGCCGGGGGCCTCCCTGGACCGTCTCCAGCGTTGCCCGTAAAGTGGCGCGGCTGGAAGTGATCACGGATGGTCCCCTCGGAGGCTCCAGGCAGCAGGGCTGGGGGCACCTGCTGTGCTGCTCCCTGGGGGTGGGGCTGGGGGGCTCTGGGGAGGAGAGGAGGAAGTGGGCGCTTGGGTAGGGGGTGGAGTTCATGCTGTGGGATCACTGCCTCCCTTTCCCGGCCTCTGTCCTCATCTGGGGGGCTGGGCAGGCCTCACACGTGGGGCTGCCGTGCAAGATCCAGGATTCCGTGAAGGCACAAGGAAGGCGCCAAGAAGATGCGGGGGCGGGGGTCCTTGCCTCGGTTTCCTTTTAGGTCTTACCTAAGTTTTCCCCACTAGAGGCTCTGCAAGAGGCCGGCGTGGATGCCTGTTGACTGGGGTTGGTGAAAGCCTGTGCGGCGTGGGGCGTGTGGCCCTCTCCCCGTTTCTGGGCCTCGGGCCATGGGAGCAGAGATACAGGGTGGGAAGAGGGCCAGGTGTGCCAGTTTCGTAAAAGATGCCTCTTCCTGTTGTGTCCCTGCAGAAGGAAGGGGAGTTCACCCTGCACGGCCGGGCCATCCTGGAGATGGAGCAGTACATCCGGGAGACGTACCCCGACGCCGTGAAGGTCTGCACCATCTGTCACAGCCTCCTCATCCAGGTACCGCAGGGCCGGGGGCGGGCACTTTCTAGAAGGCCCCAGGCCTTCCTCCAGCATGAGCAGAAGATGGGCGTCTCCGCAGAAGTGTCCGAGGATGAGCACACGAAGGCCCGCCTCTCCTCCCTGGTCCCTCTGTTCTCGTCCCAGGGCTCTTTCTACTTTTTTCCAGATAAGGCTCTCAGAGGTCTTCTGTGTGGTCCATATTATCTCAGCAGCTGTGTGGTGAACACCTTTCTGTCTCAACCATGGTTTCCCCGTCATCTGTTTTCCCCTGTGTACTTTGTAGGGCTGCAGAGCACAGCAGCTGGACCGGTGCTGGATGTTTATGTTTCCTTTTTATTTTTTTGCGATCGTCACCTACACCGGGATAGGCCTCTTTGCACGTCCATCCTTGGGCACCTGGTTGTTTTCTTGGGTTGAATTCCTGGGAGTGGAGTTTCTGGAACAGAGTGCACACACGACTGTTGAAAGCTTTGCTCCACGTTGCTAAAGTGCCTTCTGCAAAGCGGCCGTCCTCATGCCCACTGCAGGACCCACACGTGCTGGGAGCCTGGGACTAGCCTTGCTGCTCCAAGGGCCTGGCCTGCCGCCCTCGCTGCCGCGCTCCGGCCTTTGGAGCCTTGAGCTTCCTCCCCGTGTGCTCATTCGTCAGATTCTTTACTAAAACTCACTGCACTAAGTTAGACTTACGGGTTGTTCTTATTATTAATCTGGGGCCTAGAAGACAAAAATACTGAGCCTGCGGGACGTTTTCCTTGCAGTTTCCTGAAGGTTTATGAACACGGCGGGCTCCACGGCCATCACCTTTCTCATTTCAGGGTCAGAGCTGCGAGACCTGTGGAATCAGGATGCACTTGCCTTGTGTGGCCAAGTACTTCCAGTCCCATTCGGAGCCGCGCTGCCCCCATTGTAACGACTACTGGCCCCACGAGATACCAGGTTCGTGTCCCTAAGCCGCTGTCTCCTCCTGGCCTCTGGGCGGCTGGGCTGGCAGGGCTGCGAGCGTGCCCGAGTTGTGGTGCGTGGCCCTGAGGGGCCACGGGGGGCAGGGAGGCAAGGTGCGCCAACAGAGCCGCCACGTGTGTGCAGGACCCGAGCTGCACACGCTGAAGCAGCTTCTGCTGTAAGCTGAGGCCAGCTTTTGCTTGCCCTGTTCCACAGGGCTCCCTAGACCCTGGCAGACATCCTGAGGCATGTGAGGGTCTGGTGTAGACGAGGCTCTCTCCCTGGCAGCTGTCTCGGGAGGGGAGGTATAAGCGGTGTCCCCAGCTCCCTCTGTTTATCTGTCAACTGGGGCTAATTCTGCCTTCCTGGAGAGTAGAATGTTCCATAGGACAGAGTCCTTGGCACACAGCCGTGGCTGTGGATGGCAGCCGGCCGCACCGTTCACAGTATTTTCTGGCTTTTCTGCGTACAGAAGTCTTTGACCCCGAGAAGGAGAGGGAGGCCAGCATCTCCAAATCGAACAAAAGGTCCTTGCGATCCAGGCAGCACTAGCCGGCCACCGCCTTCAGGGCAGTGACCGGCACGCCCCGTTTGGAAGAGAGGCATCAGTTTCGTGTTTCACGTGATTCACCTCCTTTATCTTTTATGTTCACTTGTTAACAGGTTTGGAATAAACTTACTAAGCAGCCACCTCGGCCTCGTCTGTGGTTGGGTGCCCCCCTTTCCTGGAGCTCACTGAGAGTTGGGAGCCCCCCGGCTTGGGCTCCGGAGTGAGGCTGGCAGAGCTCCTCCTGCCCAGCACCGTCCGAGGCCACTTGCTCAGGGCGGCTTTGCCTTCGGTCCCCAGCTGTGGTCACCCATCCCACCCACACTGGCCGGCCCGACTTGGGCTTGTGGGGGCCTTGGCCCCCCCGACGCCCCCCGGGCTGCACCCTCCTTGGCCCAAGACGCACCGGCCTGAACGGCATCACCCACCGGCTCCAGGCTTCTCCCGCGGAGTCACCTTCCCACCGTGCCAGGCGGCCTGGCACGACCCTGCTGACTGCCCTTGCCCGCGGGCCCGGGCCACGCGATGGGGCCCCATGTACCACAGCCCCTCTCCCCTCCTACCTTCCAGGGCATGGCATTTCTTTCTGTCCCTGGACGAACCATCGTGTTCCTCACCGCCAGGCCTCTGCACACACGTCTCCCCCGCCTGCCTGCCCTCCCCTCGTGTGTCCCGCCCTTGCGGGCAACACCTGTCCACCCTTTAGATCTTAGTTAGGCTGTCACCACCTCCACTCCAGTCCCCCACCTCCCCGCGTGTCTCTGACCATCACACTTGCCGCACTATTTTGACTCCCTGTCTCGCCTCCCTTCCACCCCAGAATCAATCAGGACCCCTTCAGCCATGACAGCAAACCCAACTCAGAGTGGCTTAAACAAGGAAGGACTTGGCCAGAGGAGGTCCTTCAGGAGAGGCTTGACTTAGTGGTTCCAGTGATGTCACCAGGCATCCTATTTCTCTCTCTGCCCTGTTATCATGAGTGTTGGCCTCACGCTGGCGCCTAAAACACGGTCTTCCAGCAAATCCAGCCTCTTTCTTCAGGGTAGCAAAATGGCTTCCATACTTGCAGGCCTCGCTCACCCAGGCCCCGCCGTCAGGAGGAAGAGGGCGGGCCTCATTTAGGGGCTCCCCCATCCCAGCAAACATCCAATCTGGATACCTGTGGGGGAGGGTGGGATAGTCCAATGGGCACTCTCGGCCTGGGCCACCTCTGAGCCGTGAGTAGGGCAGCCCCTCCCGAGCCACGTAGCTGAGTGAGGAGGTTCTCTAAGCAAATTGAAGACGCTGTTACCAGGGAGAGAGGGAATGAATGTGGGCGCCCAAAGGGTGGGGTGTCCTCCACCCGTGCGGCAAGGACCCTCTGCCCGATTCACCTGCATCAACCCACTGTGGGGCGGGACCCGGGTCCGGCCTGGGCCCTGAGGCCCACCCCCAGGCAGCGAGAGGCGCTCAGCTGTGCGCCGGCCCGGCCCCTGGGCCAGCCTTCTGAAGGCAAACACAAGCCTGGGTGAAGCCCTGCGGGAGCCCCGACTGGCGGGCGGGCAGGTGGGCGCAGCTGTGCCACCGAAACCAGCCCCAGCCAGCTTACCCAGAAAAGGGGTTTCTTGGGAGGGTCTGAGAAAACATGGACCCTGGGCTCGGGGATTCCCGCGGGGAAGACCCACTCCCGGTCACGGTGGGGACTGCAGCCACTGCACAGCAGCTCCAGCTGTTCTGTTCGTCGTCCCAATGCGCCCTCAAGATGCAGGTGCAGGAAGGGCTCCGGGTTGACACACCCTCCAAGGCTGCATTCCCGGGAGGAAGGGCATCCTCCACAATGCTGTTCCAGACAAGGGCGAATGGAGGCCAGGGCCCAAAAGCAGAGCAGCACGCCGTGGCCCTCCTGCCTGTCCGGGCAGGTGGCTGGGCGGTCAAGGCCAGGCAGGGTCACACCACGCAGGTGTCAAGGAAGCTCTGAGCACCTGCTGCTGGGACACTGCCCTCCTGCTGCCAGTCTCCCCTGCGGTGACGCCAGCACGAACTTCCTGAGGACCCCTTGGCACGGCCCAACCAAAGCCCTAACCCCAAGTTCCAGAGCACTTGCCTGGCACTCAAGGCCTTGGTGATCCGGCCCTGCCGCCCCCGGGCACAGCCTGTCTCCCACCACTCTGCCCTCCCACTGGTGCCCCAAGCGTGTCACTCCAGGGATTACTGGACCGGGGACACTGACCGCTCTTCCGGCCTCCAGTCTCCCCCTTTGGGCTCTTCTCACTCGGCAATGTGATCAGCCCTCGTCTCTCCTTGCTTAGCACCTTCATCCCTCCCCCCGCTGCCACAGTCCAGGCCCTGCCCTCCCCATTCCCTCAGCGCCCTCTGCTCGTGCTGCACCAGCCCCTTCCTCTCTCCCAAGGCCAAGGCTTTCCTGCCTCGGGGCTGCTGCACCTGCTGCTGGGAGCACCGTCCTCAAATCTCAGTGTCAGTTCTGGACTCCAGGTCCTTCAAGGTTCTACTCAGACGTCAGCTATGAAAGTCACGTCCCCAATCCCTCCCCTGTTGCCACATTCCACCGTCACCCTGTTCTCTTGCCTTCATGGCACTTACCACTATCCGCACTACTTATTTTATTGTCCGTCTCCTCTCCGGACCCCCCCAAGAGCATGAAACACAAGGAGGGCAGGGCCCCCATCCTGCTCGATGCCGCGCCCTGCCTGGCACAGGACTCCGGTGTTGAGCAGGCCTCTCTGCAGCTCCAGTGGGTGGGTGCCCGTACCTCCCCTCGGCCCTGCGAGCAGCTGGTTGGCACCTTTCTTCTAAGCCGCCTTCAGTCCACACCCCTCAGAGCTGAAGCCAGCCCTCCAGCGGGGATACTAGCAAGATGGGAGCCTTGCCCGGAGAGCAGATGAAGATTTCATCTTCCCATCTGACAAGGGACACTTGCTCGAGGCGGCCAGGCCTCAATATGTTTTAATGAACGCTTCCTCTAGTCCCTAACTTCAGAACCATGACATTACAGGAGAACCGCTTTTCGTCAGGAGTGGGACCTGCCAGCTGGGATGGATGGGGTCCTAAAGGCTGGGCCACCGTGGGAGCTGGAGCCGGGGAAGGAGTGGGCGTTATGCAGGCAGCCCTGGAGTTATGGCTTGTCTGCAGCCCGTCTCCTCACTGATGGCGAGCCTGTGGGCATGGTGGCATCCCTATTTTATGCCTGACTGCCTTCAGCGGCGTTGATATTTGCTATAAATTCTTCATATGAAAAATGAGGTAAATAACTATCAATAATGCTGGGTAGGGGAATAAACGACCTCACAAGCAACTGCTCACAGAGCCCGCGATTCCTTTCTAAACAGCTCTCGTATTCGCCCGGGCTCACCCACGGCGTCAGACCCACGGCCACCCTGCAGCTTTGCCCATCAGCCCCTCCTCTTCCCTGCTGAGAATCAAACGTATGTTCTGATGATCTCTCTGCTCAAAACGCTGAAGCCCCAAGACCTACATGATAAGGTTCAAATTCCTTGGCCTGGTTACAGAGGACATTAGTAGCTAGTTTTAGCTGCCCATCAATGCTTCCCACCCCCCTTCTCACAGTAACTCAGGGGGGGCCTGTGAGCCAGGCCCCGCCAATCAGAGCAGCCACTCCCTGCCCCACGGCATTGCCCCAGAATGGGCGAAGGTCCCAGGCCCAATGGTCAGAACCTTCCCTGAGGTTTCTGAGCTGTGGGTAGAGGTGCTGGGATCTGGAGTTGACCTGCTGGGGCCATCTTCTCCCCCCGGGAAGAAGGCTACCTACAAGAGGGAAGAGACCGAGGCCAGGGTCAGACCAGCAGACATGAGGTGGCCACGGAGGGAGAGAGGCCTGGTGGGTAGAGGCATGGCCCTGGGCCGCCTCCGCAGCTGTTCCTGCAGGTCTGTGACACCCCTGCCCCCAGCATCCTTACCTGGTCAAAATTCAAACAGAACCACCCATGTTTTATACAAACAAAACAAACGTGTTTATGGAAAGTCTGAAGCCTGGGCCTCTCTCCTGGCCTAAAACCCTCTTTCAGAGAGGAGTGGTCCCGGGCGATGGCGGCAGCAAGGGGCAGGAGGGCCGCCAGGTGGTTCCTGGCTGCTGGGAGCGTGTGGAGTGGGAAATTCACCAAGCTGGCAGGGCTGTGCGCTTCCCTGAAGGCAGGTTACACTTCAGTAACCAAGCCAGAAACGGCCCCAGGCTCCCCACTGCCCAGCAGAGGCCTGAGCTGAGCACCCCCGTGACCAGGCCATGGCCACCCCGCTCCAGAGCCTGCGGGCCATGGCTGTCCCGACAGGCCAGTATTTACAACAGTAATAATCAGGAAGGCTGGTGACAGCGGCTGAGGTCTGTAGCGCAGCTCTGCCCACACCACGTCCCCAGAGCCCTCTGTGGTGAGGACTAGCGCCGCCCTGTTCCCCAGATGGAGACACAGTGGAGTTCCTTGCCCCACATCATGCAGCGGTTAAGCGACAGGGCCAGGCTTGAATCCAGGCAGCCAACCTCAGAGCCCCGGAGCTTCTGTGCAGGTTGTGGGCCGGGAATGTCCCTTTGGGGTCCCACCCGCCTGCCTCTGCTGCCCACACTGGCCTGGGCACCCCTCGCCCTGCGTGTGCCAAGACGAGGGAGTCCTTAGGCGCAGGCCGGGCCGGGCACAGGGCGGAGGATGTGTGACCACGAGCGCATCTGCTTGCCGGGCACCCTCCTCTCGGGCTACGACCACCAGAAGCTGACCGAGAAGCTCAAGTCCAGAGCCCGCACGTAATGCCAGTACTTCACCGGGATGAAGAGGATCTCTCCCGGAGACAGGATGCAGGACAGGAATGGGGCCTCGGCAAACCTGGGGAACTTCTCCACGTCGGGATTCTCCACGTCAACCTGAGGAAAGCGAAGGAAGTCACTGGCCTGCTCTCAGAGACGGGGTGTGGAGGAGGGGAAACGGTGGGTCCCACCGGGTCCTCCAGGCCCACCTGGCTCGTGTTGTGAAGAAGGTGCGTGTCATGAGGATACAGGGCCTCTGACTCCTGCGGGGAGTATAGCCGGATGTATTTCCTGCCCATCACCTGCAGGGAAGAGAGCCGCCCTCCTCAGCAGGTGCCCGGCTGCCCCGGCCGCCCCGCGCCCAGCACACGCATCAGGTTAGGAGTCACTGCCTGCGCTACTGTTGCTAACAGGCCCTCGACGGTGGCACCGCGGTCTCAGTGCTGCATGTGTATTAACTCTGAGCCTTAGCACACCCATCCCAGGTGGTTTATCCTTTCCCCGCATTTTACAGGTGAGGATATGGAGGCACAGAGAGGTTAAGTGAATGGCCACGTTCGCAAGGCTGAGAGGCAGTCTGGCTCCCGGCCCCTCTGCTGCCTCTGGGGACTGGTCCCCGGGCTGGAAGAACACTCTCACTTGTCAAACCTCTCTTCCTGCGACGGAAGGTGGTTTTATAACAGGTGCCCCTCCCCTTACAACATACACGCACGCACGTGGCGCGCTGCTCTATCTGGGTCTCCATAAAACCACCCACTGGCTGAGCAGGTTCCCCATATTTGGAGGGTTCTGGCAGGAGAAGCTGGCCTGGTTCTGATGGACGGCAGGGGAGAGGCAGCCGTCGGGGCACTTGCTCCATCCGGAGATGGCGCCCGGCCCCATTCTGCCCTCAGGAGGCGTCTGGGAACCCAGACGATGCAGGAGCCATGTCTGGAAGCCGCCCCGACCAGGCAGAGGGCCCCCCGCTGAGGCCTGGTACCTTTCTTTCTCTGTTTTCACTCTGTCCACGTCCCTGTCAGTGGTTCATCTCTTTAGTGTTTAAATGTGGACAACGTGGCCAGGCCGCGTGTGGCTGGGCCAGGAGGAGGGGGAAGGCCGATGTTCTGAGCAGCTCCAACCTGGGCTAGGAAGTTCTGCTGGGGATCCTGGTGAAGCGGGGAGATGGTGCCTTGGGGACCGAACCAGGCGTTGATGGTGATCTCCTCTTCCTCCCCGGCGCCCAGGCAGCAGTAATCGGGGATGCTGATGTCCTGCTTCAGCTCCGGGATCTGTAGGGTCAGAGCAGACGTGGAGGTTCAAGACCAGGCCTGTGGGACACAGCAGCCCAGAAGTCCACTGACTCTCCCAGAAGGCCGATACACACTCTCTTCTTGTGTAATATTATGACTGTAGCCACATTTTACTGTATAGGAGTTTAAAAATCAATTTTAAAAAGTAAATACATAATTGCTAGGGAAGGGTTATAATTTTATTTTCAGATTTCTTTCCATGTCATACGCATTTTAACTTCGTTTCCTCTTCTTAAAAACCTGATACCACTGCTTTGTACCTAAAAATAAACCAGCTTGCAATTTTCTAATTTTAGAACATCAAATTAAAGAAAAACAAAAAGAAAATGGGACTGAGCAGTTAATGAAATCTCTGGAAGGGAAGATTTTCCAAAATTTCCTAATGGTAAAGCAATCACACTTGGTACATTTAAGAGAAGTTACTTAATACAAAGATGGGGAGTGAAATGGGAACCATCTGAACCGTGTAAAGGAAGGTTAATGTAGAGAGTGCACACAAACTGATAAGGAAAAATAATAAGGATCCCAATACATAAGGTATACAAATAAGAAAAGGACAAAAAGCAGATCACACATAAAGATGAATTAGATATAAAGAAGGGTTTCGGTCTCATTAGCAATAAACATTGTCATCATTTCCCACTGATCAAATTAGCAGAAGTTGAAAAAGTGGTAACACACGGTGGTGGTGAGGATGTGGTAAAGGGGGCACCCTCATGCCAGGCTGCTGGTGGCATCAAGCAATGTGGTCAGGACTTCCCTGGTGGTACAGTGGTTAAGAATCCGCCTGCCAATGCAGGGGACATGGGTTCGAGCCCTGGTCCAGGAAGATCTCACATGCCGCAGAGCAACTAAGCCCGTGCGCCACAACTACTAAGCCTGCGCTCTAGAGCCCGCGAGCCACAACCACTGAAGCCCACGGGCCTGGAGTCCGTGCTCTGCCACAAGAGAAGCCACTGCAGTGAGAAGCCCGTGCACCACAGCAAAGAGTAGCCCCCACTTGCCGCAACTAGAGAAAGCCCACAGGCAGCAACGAAGACTCAATGCAGCCAAAAATAAACAAACAAACAAATAATAAAAATTGGGTTAAAAAAAAAAAAGCGACGTGGTCAAGTGTGGAAGTCTTAAAACCATTCATGGACTTTGGCCCAGTTGGAAGTGAGCTTGTGCTGCTCCTTTGCGTGGCGGCATCAGGGGCCTCCGGGAGGCTGTGAAGTTAGGGCTCCCGAGGAAGCTGCTCCAGGGCAGGGAGCTCAGCTGACCTGTGGCTTCCAGGGGCCCTGGGAGGCCGAGCCCCACTATGACTGAGACCAGGGGATAGGACAGGCCGGTCTCTTGAGATCACGTGGCAGGGGCCTGATCAACTTGAATCCCCCTTTTCTTTACTTAGCAAGAGAGGACAGGACTCAGGACCCACGAGTCCTCACATGGGGACGCCTGGGCAAGAGGACACAGCCCACCTGGCCCCATCACCTCCTGCCCCCCTGTAACTTTGGACCTGCAGCTCCTGAAGGCTGGCACATCCCCAACTGGGGCCCCCCGGTCAGGACAGGGACCCCAGCTTCCCACTGGCTGTGGTCCTGACCCCGAATGACCCAGGTCTTCCCTGTTCAGGGCACACACCCAGCCCCTGACCTCGCCTCCCGCCCAGCACTGCCCGTTCTGGGCAGCTGTGGCGTAAGGCCTGGCCAAGACCACATCTGCCGAGTCCCCCAGGATGCCTCAGCTCCATCTAATGAATGGTTCGGGTCCCAAACTAGGAGTCTTCCTGGGCTGCTCCCTTTCTTTCGATCTCTGCACGCCCACCACGTCAGGTGCTGGCAGCTCACACACGTCCTAACCCCGTCTCTCCACGCACGGCGTCAGCTCTCCCTAGACCGCTGCAGCAGCCTTCTAGTGGTCTCCCTGCTTCCACACCTGTCACCTCAACTCCTCCCCAGACAGTGCCACAGCCATCCTGGAAATACTTCCCTTCACATTAAGAAAACCATCCTTCTTCCAGCCCTGATCTCCCTCTCAGGCCCCATCTGCCACTTCCCTCCCCTTCATGCGCTCGGCTCTGGCCACGCTGAACTCTCCTGCCCCTTGAAGGTGAAAGTTCACACCTGCTGCTCTCCCAGCTGGCATGGCGCTTGTCATGTCCTTTTAGACACGAGAAGAAAATACAATGCAAGTTGATGACAGGGATAAAATACCCACAATGCTTACAGTTGACAACTAGCTTGCATCCAGAACATATATAAAGGATTCCTAAAATTCAAAATAAGAAGACCAACAACCCAATAAAAAAGAAATGGGCAAAATATTTGCCATGTGGCTGGGTACCTACTGCTCATCTTTTGGGCTGTTGCTCAGACATTACCTCCCCAAGACCCCTTCCCTGACCATCAGATGGAAAGAGCCCTTGCCCCGCCCAGCCTCCTTTGTAGGGTACATTTCTCCTTTCCTTCAAGGCGCTCATTACCATCAGATACGTGTGTTTTTCAGGTCCACGGGGCAGGAGAGCGACTGTCTCCTTTGTCCCTGCGTCCCCAGGGCAGCGTTCAGCGCCCGTGCACAGGGGCCTACAAAGCAGCCATCTGCCGCCCGCCACCAGGGCCACAGCCTGGGCCACCCCCCAAGTACAGAGCGAAGAGGAGAGCGGGGGATGAGGCAAGGGGTGGACGGAGGGCTCCCCAGGGTGAGCCCTCCTCTGAGCGTTTCGGCATCCTAACTGGACGGCTTTGAAAGCACAGGATGAATCTGATTCACGCTACACTTCACTTTGTTCTGTTTTGTTTGCATTTGAAAACAAAGTCTCGTTCTTCTCGTTATGAGGACTATACATACTCATTATAGATGATTTGGAAACCGCAGAAAAGAGAGGGAGGGACCCCCTCGCCCTCTCGCCCCCCGCAGACAATCCCTGTTCACCTTCTGCGGCCTTTCTTCCTGTCCTTTGCCAACTCAGCTGTGGCCATCCTGCACAGCACTGCACAGCCCCATCTCCTCACTCCCCACGAGCCAGACGGTCCTGGTTCCTGCCAGCACTTCCCCAGCTCTGCATTTGGCGGCTACGGGCCCCACCTGACGCAGGTCTGGGTTACGGGTGATGCTGGTGCCATTGATCTGGGTGCGGCCCAGGATGGACCCTGCACCTCTAAAAGCCAGGACGCTGGCGCTGTCTGGGCCACACCTGGACGGTCTCAGGGGAGGATGTGTGACGGAGACAGAGCTAGCGCAGCCTGCCACCGTCCCTCTTCTTCCCCTGGGCGCTCTCCTTGCATCCCCCGGCGCCCCTGTTGGATTCTCCCGGGAATACCACCTCGGAGTGGGAACCCTCCAGCTCACAAACGTCCCAGGCTCCTCGCCGTCTTGGCCTGGCCTTCAAGGCCCTGCCAGCTTGGCCCCAGCCTCCCTCTTCGGCTTCCCGCTCTGCTTTTCTGACCAAACCCTCTCACGCTGGTGGACGCGCCCAGCACGTGGGGTTCGTTCTGCCCTCCGACCCTGGCTCATGAGGCGCCTCTCCCTGGGACTGGCCTCGGCCTCGAGCCCTGCTCCTCCCCTCAGCTCCAGCCCACGGCCCCCTCGTCTTTCAGTCTCCAGCAGTTCGTCCTGAGGGTCCTCCATCCAGCCAGTCAGGGTACCCAGAGGAGTGGAACCCGGGCCCTGCCACAGCGCACAGGCCCAGGTGCGGGGAGCCTGCCTCGTAAGCAGACGACCGAAAGGTGGTCAGGGCGGCTCCAGGCCCTGCCCAGGGAACTCTGTGAGTCCAGGTCAGCGGCCACTCGCTCGTTCTGGGTCAGGTCACAGCCTGCCACCCTCACCTGGGGGACCTGTTCCTCGGTTCTGACCACACCTGGGCTTTAGACTCCATCCCCTGGGGGCCATCCTAGGGCCTGCTCTGCTCCCCTGCTGTCCGCTGGCGAGTAGGGCACGCGTAGCGGCACAGGGGCCTCCCTGCTCACCGCAGGGGGCAGTACCACTGGGGAGCAAACGAGGCTGCGACCCCTTTCCAACCCTCCGGGGCCAGCGCCTAGGAAGGGAGGTGGGAGGAGGGGAGAGGGTGAAGGGTAGAGGGGCTCGGACTCACCTGGTCAAAGAGCTGGTGCTGAGCAAGGTACCCGATGTCCTTCGGCTACTCCACGGGAGAAAGACCAGAGGCGACACAGAAAAGTCCCATTAGTCGTCGGACACCTCCTCAGAGCTGCCCGTGTGGCTGGCTCTCAGCACCCTGTCCTAGGCGTCACCTGGAGGGCCCTCGTCTCCGGCCTGCTTGGTACCCCCTCCTCCAACCCAGGGGCGAATGTGATCCCTTGCCAGCCAGCAAGACTGGGCTGATGGGGGGACTCAGATCTGGCCCTGCCTCCGCCCTGAGTAAGTCACCCTGAGCCCCGGGGCTCAGGTTTCTCACATGAAACGTGAAAGGGCTGTACACACATAAGGATTTTTTTAAATAAAAATGGAATCATACAATCTATATTACTGTGACGTCTGCTTTCTTCATTTAGTGATATACCATGACGACCTCTTCAGGTCAGTACACGCATATGTGACTCACTCCTTTGATGCATGCATGTTTATAGACAGGATGCATCATTATTCATTCAACCATCCCCCTGCTGGTGGACATTAAGGTGGTTCTGCCGCGGTGCTTCAATAAACAGCCGAATGCTCTGGTCCTGACGTTTACATGCTTCCAAGAGGAGAACAATGCAGTCAGGGAGTACGTGGATTTTAAACCTCAATAGCTTCTGCCACGTTGTTTTCCCAAGCGTTACATCATTTACAATCTCACCAGCAGTTAATGTGAGAGTCCACTTTCCTACAACTGCCTGCACTGGAGATGACCATTTTGTGAAAATTTCTACCAATCAGATGAGTTCAAAGATCAGTGTTTTACAAACCGGGCTCCCCGACGCTCAGGGGTTCTTTGAAGATGCCCGAGGGCCTCTGCAAGGGTCAGATGGGGGCGGGGCAGATGGGATGCTGGGCACCACTGACCCAAACTGCGGCCAGAGTGGCCAACAGGTATCAGGAAGAGGAAGACACCCAAGGCCCTCACTGTAAGAAATGACAAAATGGTGCAGCTGCTTTGGAAGACAATCTGGCAGTTCCTCAAAAGGTTACACACGGAGTTACCATCTGACCCAGCAATTCTACTCCTCGTATACACCGAAGAGAAACAGAATCACACGTCCGCACAAAAGTGTGTACGTGAATGTTCACAGCAGCATTTTTCATACCGGCCAAAAAGTGGACACAACCCAAACGGCCATCCACTGAGGAATGGACAAACAAGATGTGGTCTATCCATCAAAGGGACAGTATTCGGCCATACAAAGGCACGGAGCACTGGTACGTGCTACGACAGAGATGAACCCTGAAAACGTTATGCTAAATAGAAGAAGCCAGACACACGTCGTCACATATTATATGATTCCAATGATGTGAAATGTCCAGAATTGGCAAATCCATAGAAACAGAAAGCAGATTCGTGGTTGCCTGGGGATGGTGGGGAAGGGGATATGGGAAGTAACTACTAATGAGTACGGGGTTTCCTTGGGGTGATGAGAATGTTCTAGAATTAGATAGTGGTGATGGTTGCGCAATCTTGTGAATATACCAAAACCCACTAAATTGTAACCAAAAAAACCCAAACAAAGGAAAAAAACCTCCAAAAAACAAAGGGCCTGAAATGGGAACCTTATGTCCCGCCTGCCTTTCTCGTGCTGGCCAGCCTACTGACCACAGGCCCTTAAAGAATAGCTTCTTGACTCCTCCAAAACCTCCCCTGGCGACACATGGAAGTTATTTGTCCAAATGTAACGCGTCCCCTCCCTCCTAAGTATTAGGGGACAGGAGTCAAACGACACACCTCATTCCTGATGTACTTGCTGATGAACTCATCGACAGTCATGAGCGTCTGGGTCCACTCCTCGTCCGTGTACCTGGAACCGACCTCTACTGGGACGGTGCGGCAGCCAGCGATTTCTTGGATGTACTCCAGACTATTTGGAAAACAGGGATTGGCATCGCCATCGTATGCTAACACCCATTGGGTGCCCTGCTAAATGTGCTACGCTGGTCTCCTTTCATTGGCACAAACGAGGTGGAGGAAGACCCAATTCACTGCTGAGGAGACACAGGTGCAAGAGAGGCGAGGTCACCTGCCCACCTGGCGCTGGGCAGCTTTGCAGATACAACCAATGAATCTGGTTCTTGCTGGGCAGCTCTATTTCCCTGCTTGCCTAGCGCCTTTCAACTTCACTCTTTGCTCGCCCTGTCACAAGCAGAGATCTTCTTCGGGCCAGTGGAGGACAGTGCGGGGTGGTGAGGGGCCTGGGTCCTCAGCTCCGGTGGCCTGGTGCCGAGTCCAGCCCTGCCTGTCACCCACCAGGGGACCTGTGGCAAGTCCCTTCACCTCTCTGAGCCCTTGTTCCCCGTTTGCAAACTGTGGGTAATGACAGTGCCCGTCGCACAGGAACCAGGGAGGGGACAATGAGGGAAGACATGGCATGTGCCCGCCTTGCGTGGTCAAGCACACAAGTGTCAGCGGGAACCACTCCCTCCGCAAAACCACTGCCACGAGACAGCCTGGCTCCATCCACCTGCCCGAGACACGCCTCCTCATTTCAAAATTAGGCTACTGTCCAGCTGCCTGATCTGACCTCTCCACCATGAATCTGAGGGACTGGAAACAGACATGAGGAGAGAATAAACACAGGAGCCCTTGGAGCCCACGCAGAGGGGGTGGGGCTGTCTTGGGTTCTTTTTTTTTTTTTTAATTATTTATTTATTTTTGGCTGCATTGGGTCTTCGTTGCTGCTTGCGGCCTTTCTCTAGTTGCAGAGAGCGGGGGCTACTCTTTGTTGGGGTGCGCAGGCTTCTCATTGCGGTGGCCTCTCCTGCTGCGGAGCACGGGCTCTAGTTGAGTGGGCTCTAGTAGTGTGGCTCACGGGCCCAGTTGCTCCGCGACATGTGGGATCCTCCCGGACCAGGGATCGAACCCGTGTCCCCTGCATTGGCAGGCAGACTCTCAACCACTGTGCCACCAGGGAAGCCCTTGGGTTCTTATTTCTACTCTCAAGGCTCAGGAACCCCTAAGAAACTCCACAGAATTCCTGAGATCCTGCAAAACTGCATAATGGACTTAACATTGGACTTCCATGATGCACTCCTTAAAAACTGCTTAGGGCCAGCAAGCTGTAGAAGCTAAGAATCTTACAACCTCTGGCATCGCTTCAGAGCACTGTGCCTTTAACGCCTGTTTAGCCCCTCGGCCATCCATCTCACTTCACTGCCAGTGAAGTGTCTGTGGGGCTGTATTCACCTGCGGATGGGAGGAGGAATTTGGGGGTCTCTGGGGATGCTAAATTGGGAAGAGGAACCACACCGCCCTCAGCAGACACCCACCTCCACTTCTTCATGCACGGCCAGTGGTTGGCCACACCTTCCAAGACCACAGGCCTCCCTGGATCCAAGAAATGCTTCCTGAAATACTGGAGGGATGGACAGTGAAGCCGGGGCACCGTGCTTTCTGACGTCATATCTGGAATCGGAACGTGGTCCTTCCTTGCTTTCTGTTCAAAATTAAGACAAAACAAGATGGCAACAACTGCAGAAAGGCCAAAATTCGAGGCATTCCACTAGGAATTTGCATCAATGGTAGTAAGACAGCTGAGGTGTCATTAGTAACAATAATAACAGTTAACATTTATTGTCAGTTTTACTGCTGCTACTGTGACTACTGACCTTTCACGATACCAAGATGTTTTCTTCTCTACCGGTTCATTTAAAATGTTTGTTTAATTATAAAACTAATATATTGCTTTCATAGAGGAAAACTTACTATCCCAAACTCCACCATCTAACATACAAGGATTCTTCTCATTACTGTATGTTCCTTTCCCACTTTGTCCACACATATGCATCTCTGATCCACTCTAAGATTCACGATGAATAAGCAACTCTGCCTCTTCTGTCCAATAATTTCTCTAAAGTAGTTTCCATGCTGCCACTCAGTCCTTGCAATGTCTTGAGTGGCTGCCTCATCATTTACTTAACCATCTCCCAGCTGAGGGACCTGAACAAGTTACTGTCTCTGAGCCCGTTTCCCCACACGTTAAACCCCACTGGGTGACGAGACCTCACACGTAAAGCACCCAGCACTGCCGCCTGGCACCTGTCACCTCCCTCTGCTCCCCCTGCTGGACCCCAGGCCCGTTCTCAACACTCACGCAGTGGCGGCAGCGACAGCTAACATTCTTCCCTGCAGGCGATGTGCGAGGCCTTGTACTTGCCTCTTCTTTTCTCACTGTCCCCAGTGTAGACTTTGACTTCCCTGTACTCCCTTGTCAGACAGGCCTTCCCCGACCACCCTGTCTGAAGCAGCCTCCCCCCCTTTCTCACCACCTGGGAGAAGACATTCTTTCACAGCCTCACTAGAATGTCAGCTCCAGGACGGGCGTCTGGACCACGCCCTTGGTTCCCGGCACATCTGGGCCACTGCTGGGGCTCAGTAAGGCTGCCGAGCAAAGCCCCTCCTACAGGCAGGGGAATGGAGGTGGCACAGGCAGCAGGGGGTGGCGCAGGAATGTGAACCCAGGCAGCTGCCTTCAGAGCCTGAGCTCCCACCCCCTTGACTGTATACACTGCTCCAGACCGCGAACACCACCTTGGCCATGAAGCCACCGCCATATCCCTTGGGACAGCCCTGGCCGGGGCAAGGGTGGGTGCAACCCCTGGGTCCAAGGGGACAGATATTTGTCCCTTGATCCGCACGTCTGCCCGACCCTCTGAAAGGTCCACCAACACCCCATGCTCTTGGCCCTGTGGCACCCTTGGCAACACTGGGTGTTGTATAAAATCTCATCTGATAGTTTCAGAGCCAAGAACGGCTGCTTTGTTTGTTTGTTTGTTTAAACCAGAGGTGAGGTTGGACATTTCCCACATGTTTAACAGATCTGTTTCCTCCTTGTGAACAGTCTGTTCGTGTGTCTGGTCTCTCCACCTCCTGGGGCCCAGATTTTTCTGTTCCCCTGTTGATTTGTGTAATTCTTATACAATAAAGATATCTCCTCTCTGACAGCTTTGCTGCAAATTTCTCTTCCCTGTTTATAGGCTCACTTTTTATTTCAGTTACATGTATGGTGTATTTATGACATCCATTTGCATTATTCTTATAGAAAAATAATGCTCACTGGAGGGAATTCTGAAAACAAGAAAATATTTAGAAAAATGTCGAAAACACCCCGTAACTCCCTCACCCAGTGTCCAGTACAGTCTCGGCCCTTTTTTTCCGGGGGTCAGCACTCTGCTACTTCACAGATAAGGAAACTGAGGCTCAGAGGAGGTGACTGACTTGCCCAGAGGTGCTGTGAGTGGGTCCGCGTGTCAGTGCTGGGATGTGAAGCCTGAGGAAACCACCCTCAGTGACTCACATGCACTTAAACACCAGTGAGGACACGGCCAAGTATCTAAGGGGCAGGACCGATTAGTCACGTGAGTTGTAGTATCTCATCCAAACTCAGCAGCACAAAGACAGAGGCAGCCAGGAAAGTGGGTGACACCCCAGCCAAGGGGCCAGGAAGAAGCTGAAAGAGGAGGGCTCCCGCTGGCTGCAGGGCTCGGCCACACAATCCCTCTGAGCCATTCCTCTCAGGAACCACAAAGCTTTCACCCTCCTGCTCTCCCCAAGGGGCACGGCTTTTGCACAAACTGGGGAAAAAAAAAAATTGAGACAAGAGGCTGTTCCATTTCCAAATCGATGGAGATGCCATTTTTTCAACCAGAGGGGTCAGCACGCCAGGGGCTTCAGCCCAGGGGAGAGCTGACCTGTGACTTCTAGGAAAACAGGGCTGATGGATTTTGTTGGGTGCGGTCAGTGGCGGTTGCCCACCCCCCCGCCCCCGGATACCTTTATGCCAAGCGGCTCCTGGCTCGGGCCGGGGGCGGGCCTTTTTCCAGAGAGCAGGTGCTTCTGGAGGACGGCAGTGACTTTAAGGAGGATGTCCCCAAGGATGGCCGCCCCCATCAGCAGGCCCATGTCGCAGGCTTTCAGGGCGGCGGCCACGGAGGCAGCATCCCCCGGCGGCGCGCACAGACACACGGCTTTCAGGAGGCAGCTGAAGGAGTACACCTGCCGCCAGCCCTTGTCCACGTGCTGCCAGGGCCCTGTGTTGAGCTTCTCCCAGGAGTAGTCGAGCAGCGCCTCGCAGGTCTGCAGACACTCTTGCCTCCTGTCCCCGTAGAAGAGCTCAGCGGCTTCCTGCAGCAGCGTCACCACGCTGCCCTCCACCTTCTCTCCCAGCTCCAGCTTCAGCTCCTCCTTCGTGCGGGGCAGGAGTGCCCAGAGGGCCTCCCAGAGCGCGCCCGGCCCCGCCATCAGCCCAGCCGGCTCAGTCCGATGAGTGCTGGGGGGAAAGATAAGTTACAGCAAAACACCACGTTGTATGCCTACATATTTACAGTTCTACATTTTCATAAAATAAGACTGGGGGAAAACAAGCTAGATCTGTGATGACATCCAGTGGCCAAAATGTCAACCACTGAAATTTTAAAAATATATAAACTATTTTCCTAAGAAAAGAGAGAGACTGAGAGAGAGACCACGCACAGACCTGGACCCCTATAGGTTACCAAGCCTTCCGGACTTGTCCCATGTAACACACATCTCATCTGCACTGATTCTTCAACAATGGTCTTCTCCGCCCTGTGAGGGCACCTGTGAGGGCAGGGTCCCTATCTGTCTGGTGTCACCACTGCATCTTCAGGGCCTGGCGTAACACTAGGCACACAGTGGGCACCGGACCCATATTTGTTCAGAGAGTAACATGTATTATTCTTGTCTGAAATGCCTCCAACATCCCTCTTCTCTGGCAAACTCCTATCCAACCTTTAAGGCCCAACTTAAATGATCCCCTATGTGAAGCCTGCCAAGATGCTCTGAGAGTGTTTTGGGTTTGAATAGCCCTTGAGCTTCTTGCAGAGTCAAGCTCATAGTAGGCACTCAATTAGGACTACTGAAAGAATGAGATCTTAACGTCTCTGGAGGAAACCTGGAAATACATAAATCCTATACGAAAAGGTTTATCACAGTTGGTGCCTTTAGTGACTTTAGCCTGCACATCATGTACAGATGGCAGGCCAGTCTCTAGGAATAAGTACTAACATGTGAATAGGTTCTACTGCTCACAACTTACGGTGATTTATCTGCACTACAATGTTGTAGGCATTATACTAACAGCTGCCATATGCCCTATCTCATCTGATACTAAGAAATAGGGACCATCATGCTTTTTGCAGAGACTGCTCTACGCTGGGGGTCAACAAACTTTATCTGTAAAGGGCCAGATATCAAATATTTTAGGCTTTGCAGGCCATACAGTCACTGTTGCTACTACTCTGTCACTGTCGTGTGAAAGCAGCTTTATACAGTATGTAAACAAATGGGCATGGTGTGTCCCAATAAAACTTTATCTACAAAAACAAACTCTTGCTTTAAGCTCACCAAAGCCCATTCCATCTCCTTCCTGGGCACACAGTTAGACTCCATTTCTCACTTGTAATTAGATGTGACCACAGCACCTCGTTCCAGTTCATGAATGGAAGTGACGCATGCCCCTTCCAGGCCTGGTCCATAAACACTTAAACACTGTATGATCCTCCACACCTTCCCTATCCACTGGCTGGAAGCTAAAGACTCTGAGGCCTTAGGGGATGGCAGAGCCATAAGACAGCCCCCCAACTAGGAATATCCACACTGGAATGCTTCCGGAGCAAAAGCTAGACTGGTGTTGTGTTTAGCCACTACGGTGTTGATGCTTGTTGCAGCAGTTATCCTGCCCTGAATGAAGCAGTAACTTCCTTCTATTATTGAGGAAGCAGATGGCAGAGAACATAGTAGAGGGTATTTGTTGAGTTCTGGTGGCTCAGAATCCTCTTCTCTTTCTTGACAACATACCTCCATCTCCTTTTGAGAAATTCCATCATGCCCACTGAGATCAGTCTGGTGGGATGTTGCCAAGGGGTGGGTATGTGACCCAAGCTAGACAATGAGTTGCCTCCTTTGCATGTGAACTTTAAGTAGGTCAGCTTGACCAGAGACAGCTGGCATTTCATTTTGTCCTAGTGGCAGTTTCTGGACCAGACTATTCTTGCTAGGGCCTCACAATTATTGTCCGCAATTCCTAGGATGCACTTTAGTTCTCGTCCTTTCCAAGCCCAGGTCTCCAGCTTTCCGTCGATTCTGTGGGCCCCACAGTCTCCCAAGAAATTTCTTCTTGCTTATGTCAACCAGGGTTTCTGCGGTTAATAATAAAAGAACCTTATTTGACCCTTAAAAGTAACTGACACTCAAGAGCCACTGGTGGATGGTGAAGGCAGGAACGAAGACTTGCTGTGATAAAGCCCCATCACATGCTCCGCTTCTCGTGAGGGAAGAAAGTCACCCTAAGGCACAAGAGAGCCCAATGATCCCGGCTTGCTGTTACGAACACGCTTATCTAACCCCCTTAAGTACGGGCAGGACCTGTGATTTGAGTGGTCGGCAGAATAACGTCCCCCAAAGACGTCCACATCCTAATCCCCAGAACCTGTGAGTCTGTTACCTAACATGGCAAAAGGGACTTTGCAGATGTGATGAAGAATAAGGGCTGTGAGATAGGATTATACTGGATTACCTGGCTGGCCCCAACCTAACACAGGAGTCCTTGAAAGGATCCTTCCTGGCTAAAGTCAGAGTCAGAGGGAGACGTGATTACAGAATAGTTAGACAATGCAATGTTGCCAGCTCTGAAGATGGAGGAAGGGGGTCCCAAACCAAGGAATGTGGGTGGTCTCTAGAAGCTGGAAAAGGTAAGGAAATGGATTCCCCCCTAGAGCTTCCAGAAGGGAATGCAGCCCTGCTGAGACCTTGATTTTAGTTCCATGTTTAAATTCTAACCTATAGAACTATAAGCTAGCAAATTTTTGTTTTAAGCCATCACGTTTGTGATAATTTGTTATATCAGCAATAGAAAACGATTATTACTTGCCTCTAACCAACAGGTGTGTAGGTTTGGTATGTGTAGCTATTTACTTTTTGGTCTAAGATGGCAAAAGTGACGAGATGCCACTTCTGGGATCAGGTCATATGAGACTGGACCTTCCATCTTGCTGGCAGACTTTCTCTACTGCCTTCTTGGTTTTCACGCATCGATGAAGCAAGTGGCCCTGTTGGAGGGGCCCATGTGGCAAAGAACTGAGGGTGGCTTAGAGCCAACAGCAAGCTAGGAACTGAGGGCCTCAGTCCAGCAGCCCTCCAGGAACTGAATTTTGCCAACAACCACAGGCACTTAGATCCTTGTCCAGCTGAGCCTTCAGATGAGAGCTCAGCCCTGACACGGTAACTGGAGCCTTGTGAGAGACCCTGATGTAGATGACCCAGCTAAACCCTGTCCAGACGCCCAACCCACAGAAACAGAGATAATACATGTGTGTTGTTTTACAGTCACTAAATTTATGGTGATGTGTTACGCAGCAATAGATAATAAACACTCCTACCAGATTTGCTGGACATGCTGGGACTCCATCTATAACTCACACCAAAGAACAGGAGGAGAAAGCATGGTTCCCTTTAGCTCTAATGTGTGTGAAGACGTTAGCAGTAGACAGAGAAACAAAGATGTGTGAAGGATGCTAGAGATATGGTCCCTGAGGGTGCTTCGGACAAGCCATTCCTATTGCTGGGCTCCATTTCAGCTCATTTCAGCAGACAGAATACTTGCCTCATTTCACCCCCACAATGACCCTACGAAGCTGATAAAGTACTTACAAAGGTGTGCTGTAAAGCCAGGAGTGCTCCAAGCCCTTTATATATACTCTTAATTCTTACAGAAACTCTCTATTATCATCTCCATCTTACAGATACGGAAGCTAAAGCAGAGAAGTTAATGATGTCCCAAAGCAATTCAGCTAATAAGAGGTGGAGCAGAAATTTAAAACTCAGGCAGTCTAGCTCACAAATCCATGATCTTATAAACGAGGGACCGGAGCCACAAGATCACAAGCCAGCACATGATGAAGCTGCACATCTGGGTTAACTCTCGAGAAAACTCTGAGGAAGGAATTATGCTTCTCCCCATTCTACAGATGAGAAAGCCCTATCACTTCACATAAGAGAAGGGTGTACCCTCTCGCTTGTTGTTTCTGAGGTGCCTCTTCCTGGGCCTGTCCTAAAGTAGGTGCAGTAATTCAGAGTTCTCCTCAGCTCTGCGGTCTATCCCCAGCACCGCTTCCGAATTGTATTTGCTCCTCACATACTGTGGAGTGGACAGGGGTGCATGTGATCATTTCCCCTGCAACCCCACCCTCCGATTTTGCTGATGAGAAAACTAAAGTCCAGAAAAAAAAGTCCAGACCACAGTCAATCGATTGTGCAGAGACAGAACTGAGATTAAGCTCAACCTCAGTGCCCTTCCGTATGCGCCATGTCAATGCTCCATGTTTTTTGGTTTTTTTTTTTTTTTTCTGTGCCACGTGGTTTGTGGGATCTTAGTTCCCAGAACAGGGATCAAAACCGGGGCCTTGCAGTGAAAGCACGGAGTTCTAACCACTGGACAGCCAGGGAAATCCCAATGCTCCATGTTTTATGTACATTATCTAACATATCCCTCACAATTCTACAGTGTGAGGTTTTACAGATGAATGAAGTGAGAGTTGGGAGATTAAGCAATTTGTCCAAAACTTCACAGTAAGTGGCAGTGTCCACTCAGACACTCTTCATGTTCGGGCATGAGGACTGCATCAGCTTTTGCAGCTTTAGATCCCAGCTCAGTCCCGGGTTCACAATGGATATCCTTCCCAGCTGGCTTACTGCATGACAGGACTCAGAGAGCCTGAGTGGCCTGGCCCAAGCCCGCCAGGATGATTTCTATCTCCAGCCTCCTAGAAGATTCATAAATGTCTTGTGTTGGTCTCGTTAAGAGCTTCACAGTGCAGGGCTTCCCTGGTGGCGCAGCAGTTAAGAATCTGCCTGCCAATGCAGGGGACACAGGTTCGAGCCCTGCTCCGGGAAGATCCCACATGCCGCAGAGCAGCTAAGCCCGTGCACCACAACTACTGAGCCTGTGCTCTAGAGCCCACAAGCCACAACTACTGAGCCCAGGTATTGCATCTACTGAAGCCCGCGCACTCTAGAGCCTGTGCTCTGCAACAAGAAGCCCACGCACCGTAACGAAGAGTAGCCCTTGCTCGCCACAACTAGAGAATGCCTGTGTGCAGCAATGAAGACCCAACACAGCCAAAAATAATAAATAAAAATTAAAAAATTTATTAAAAAATACTATACTAATATCAATAAATAATATATTTTAAAAAAAAAGGTTCACAGTGCAGACTTCCAGCATGGTCTTATCCACTAGCCACACGCAAAGCAGCACGTGGACCCACCAACTGGCCTTCCTGGGTGGCCTCAATGCTCATCCCCTGAGTGTCTCACATGAGTCTCATAAAGCAATTTCGAAAAATCTCACCTTGAGCGTGCAAAAGGCCTCAGAGGCCTCATATCCTGGCTTCTCACAAAGGTCTACAAAAAGGCCTCCCAGAAGACGACTTGTTTGCCTTAATACAAAAATGGCTTCTGCTAGGGCCTATGTACCAACTTTGTAAATTGGTCTCTTGGTGGCCTTAGAAAATAGCCTCCTGGAGGGTTTCAAATGGGCTATAAACTAGTTCCCTGGGACAGATTTTAACCTTTGTAAACTGGCCTCCCAGGGTGACCTTACAAAATAGTCCCACGCAAAGGCCTTACAAAGCCAGCTTCTAAGGTGGCCCCACATGCTGCTTTGTAGAATGACCTCCCAAGGTGGTCTCTGGTTTTCATAAACTGGCCTGGTAAGGCGGCTGATGTGCTGCTTCGCCAGCTGGTTGAGGGGAGGGCCTCAGGTTGATGGCCATGTGGACCAGCCCTCTGGGAGAGAGGGCCTCAAGCTGGCTGTATAGAACAGCCTCTTCGTGGCCACATAAAATAGAATCCAGAGTTCCTCAGTGAACGTCTTACAACAAAGCCTTCAGAGAGGCTTACGCTGATGCTGCACGACACAGCCTTTCAGAGGTGAGAGCTTCGGGACGGCTGTGAGTTCATTTTCAAAATGGTTTTACAGGTTGCCTCTGTGTTAGCCACCTGAAACGGCCCTGCACGTCTCACGATTGATCTTAAACACTAGTCTCCCAGGGGGGGCTTACAATTGCAGCCTGTAGCAACCTGGTGAGCTGCCATGCTGGCCACCACCCACCTGAGTAGTCTTATGTATGGCTTGGTTCCATCGGCCTCCCAGAATCTTTCATGATTTAGCCTTTCAGTTGCCGAATCACACAGCCTTCCGAGGAGGAGCCACAGCATGTTACATAAAAGTCTTCCAAAGTGGCCTCATGACCTGTTTTAAAAACTGGCTTCATTACATATTGGGCCCTCGTCTGAGGGCCAGGTGAAGGCTGGACTTTGTCTTAGTTGTACAAACCTATGTTCCATGATTCCTGTTAGCCATCTGAAATGGCCTTATAGGAGCAAGGTCCTTCCCTGGCTGGGTGAAACACCTTCTTGTCAGCTGTGTGAAACAACCTTCCAGAGGAGCTGGCCTCATGTGGGCTGTAACCAGCAGCCTTCAAACAACCAACCAGTTGGTACGGCCTTCCACTGAAGGTCAGGCAGAGGCTACATAAAGCTGCCTTTCTCAATGGCCTCACGTCCAGGCTTTACAAATCAGGCTTCCAGCATTCCCCACACATTAGTCTGATAGAAAGGTTTCTTGACAATTGTATCAAGCAATTTTCTGGAGTAAGGTATCAGCCTGAGTAGCCTCATGGCCTGGCTTTACTGATTTGCTTCCCAGAGTTCCTCACTGAACTGCCTTTTTTTAATAAAAGGTTGTATTAAACGAACGAGGCTTCCAGAGGAGGGAATCAAGGGTAAACTGTGTGAACAGTCTTTTCAGAGTGGGACTGCAAACTGGCCTTTACACTGGCTTCCCAGAGCTCCACGTAAAAGGGATAAGCAACTTGCATAAACAGCCTTCTAGTAGGTATAGGTGGATTAACTACGGAATTTATCATACAAACCAGGATGCTATATATAAGCCTTTTATTTATTTAGCTTGGTAAAATATATGTTTTTCTTTTGCAAAATCTTTTACTCTCATCATTTTTGCCAATGTTTTTTTTTCACTGTTTGGAACTGCCATTTCTGCACGTAGGAATTTCATCTTACACAAGTTGAATACTGGAAGTACTGATAGTAGCTTTCAGGGACAAATCATAAACTGGCATTATTCCAGGCACATTGAGACCCATGGTCCCCATAATCACAGGCCATATGAAAAAGCCTGAGTGGCCTTGTATTCTCACTTTAAAGTCAGTCTCCTAGGGCTAGACAGGTATTGGTCTTAAAAGACTTCTTGTTGGTTACATAAGGCTTTTTTGAAGGGGGTGAGGGTAGAGGTGAATTGCCTTTTATAAAAGGTTGTATTAAATGAACAAACCTTCCAGAGGAAGGTCTTGTGTCCTGAGTGGTCGTGTGTCCTGGCTTTGTAAACTGACCTTCTGGAGTGCCACCTGTCTGTACTGGTCTCATGACATGAGACAGCTTCCACAGGAAGCTCAGGCACAGGCTGCACAGAACTGCTCTTCTCAGTGGACTGTTTGTTGGCACAGGAAATCATCTTGAAAAGGGGGTCAGACCAAGGTTGTATGAGCTAACCTCTCAGAGTGGCTTTTGTCTTGGCTTTGTAAACCAGCCTAATCTGAACTTCATAAACGGCTTCTTGCTGGTCACGTTAAACACCAAGAAGCCAATTACAGGCTGTAGACAACAGCCCAACTCAGGTCCTGACTTCATGAATTCACCATCCAGATAGAGGGCATTATGTAAGCTGGCCTTTGGTTGGCTGTTAGTTAAGTGGGTTCCTGACGTTCATAAAATAAAGCCTTCTAGGAAGCCACCGCAGTCATCCCAGAATTCTCTTAAGTTATCTTTAAAACTCTAAAGCGCCTCCCAGAATACGTCGGCCTCAATCTGGCTTTCTGGGACCAGGCTGCCCAGTCTTGTAACGAGCAGACAGGATCGGGCTTGGGCCGTCGGTGTGGCCCCAACACCTGCCCACCTCCTGCCCCTGGATTTACTCCAAACTTGTTGGGCACGGTGACCCATCTCCGCTCAGAATTAACCCCTATCGAGTTAGACACCCCCGTCCTCCAGGCGGCCACATGCACAGGGCCCACTGGGTCCCCCACGACGAGCGGGCTGGGCGGGCTCTACGTAACCCACCAACCCTCCACCCCGAGGTCTCACACCTTTTCCCTCCCCGGCGCCTCCCCCGGGGCTTCATTTCCCTTGGTCCACATTTGGGGCCCAATGGTTTAAGTGTGCCCAGTCGGCCTAGCTCCAGACCGACAAAAGACGACTGGCCCGGGAGGGTCAGCCGGCAACCACCTGCCACTACAAACACGGCGGAAATCGGAAGCCTCGCAAGTGCATTAGAGTCGCATCAACGCGACACCAAGAACCGCGCAGGGACACGACAGCCTAGTCTCACGCACGCGCAAAAAGAAACGACTGGCGTAAGAAGCGCACCACGCACGCGCAGGGCCTTCCTCCTACCCCGGAGGCGCTGGAGTTGAACGGCTAACCTGCGTTCTCAGAGCGCATGCGCTGCCCCAGGTTCTTGCCCCCCACCCCCCCCCACCCCCCCAACACCCGGCTCAGTTTCGCTGCTTTGAAGGGCCGCCCTGGGCTTTCCAAAGCGCACGCGCGAGACCGTCCTTTCCTGCTTCACCCCGTCACGCTACGCCTGCGCAGTCCTCCCCTCTCAGCCCGGCCTCCCCGCTTCTAAGGAGCCAGAGCTGCCCGCCCTCTCGAGTTGCTCAAACTCACCTGTCTCGAGTTTGGACAGTGTCGAGTCGTCGGAGGCCGGCGACGACTTTTCCTTCTGGACCGAATACTCCGGCTGTCTCCGAGTAGTCAGAGGCTTGCCCGAGGAGTATCGATCACCAAGGCGTGCCTAGAGGAGCGCCGAGTGATCGATGCCGTGGCCCCGCCCCGCCCCGTTTAAAAGCCGGAGGGTGGAGCGACAGCCTAGGCTTGGGCTTTCGCCTCGGTTTCTGTTTCCAAGTGGGTAACACCTGCGATTGCCTCTGTAACGATAACTTCGTGTACAATCACATCTACCATTTTATCTAATCGTACAACTCGGATTTTTCTCTCTGTTTTAGAGAGCGGTAAATCGAGGCTCAGTGAGATAAAGTGGTCAAATACTCGTACTTTCGGAAAGTCGCAGATCCTGACTTTTCGAAGTTCACCCCCAAGTGCTGCATCCACGGCCTGTGCGAGTGAGGAGGACTCAGGGTTTCAGTACGGAGTGGCGGGCTAGGGGTCAGAGTCCGTCCTTCTGCCCCTGCTAGCGTGGTGCTGAGTGGTGTGGGCGTCACTGGGGGTTTTGGTTTTGAGCACGCTCCCCATGGTCTCCAAGGACTAGGCCCTTTGAAGCATTGAACAGAGGCGATAGAAAGTTCTGCTCATACTGCGTTTGGAATCCACGTGGAAATAGGAGGGAAATTTATTTACTGGTGTTAAAGAAAAATTTATTTGTGGTATTTGTCAGACTTTATTCACTGGGACTGCTGCGATGGGAGGGGCGGAAGTGTTGTGATAGGGGAGAGCGAGGGAGCACAGCTCTGAGTACAGCAAGGACAAGTGGAGATTGATAGCCAAGGAGCAGGGTCTGGGTCAGTGGATGGAAACTTATTAAGAGGAAACATAATGGGTAAGGGGAATTCTGGCTAAACCAAGGTCCCAGGTTTTTTGCTGATGGCAGGCCAGGGTGATAAGATATCAAGGGTGAAGGATAAGGATTTTGATCAGATATGAAGGGTAAGGGATTTTTGCTAAACTGACCCAGCAGAATTCTTGCTAAAACTAGACAAAGCAGATCAAAGACAGAGCCCAAGGGCAAGGTGTAGTTACAAAGAGGTCTCAGAAGAGTCCGACCAGAGTTAAGTTGAGGAGAGAGTCTTTGTCACTGGTTACCAGAGATGTGTCAGGCATTGTCTGGGCCCCCTAGACTCCTCCAAATTATGTAATTCTCTTCACAAGCCTGTGAGGTGGAGATTATCATGTCTTATTTACAGTCAAGGAAACTGGGAATTCCCTGATGGTCCAGGGGTTAGGACTCTGAGCTTTTACTGCTGAGGGTCCAGGTTCAATCCCTGGTTGGGGAACTAAGATCCTGCAAGCTGCGTGGTGTAGCCAAAAAAAAAAAAGTAACTGTACTGTCAGGGAGACTGAGGCTTGCTCAAGGCCAATTCAGCTGATCAGTGGATCTTGGGTACTGTGCTGGCACCAAAGAAAACACACTGAATCAACTTACCCAGCCCTCACAGATCTCACGGGTGAGATTCACAAATATTTATTGAGCATTTACTATGCACCAAGCACTTCCGAGGTACTTTTAAAATATGAAAATTGTAGATAGTACTATCATAATTATCATCCCCAGTTGGGTGATGACAGCGTTAAATTTTACCTGAGCCCTGTGCTCCTGGAAACAGTGAAGGTTAGAGGAAGACCCCTTACCCTTTTTTGTTCTGGAAAGGTGCTTGCTGCAATGAACCACCATTCCTCCTGTGACTTAGGGGAACTCATGGATGCCCACTTCGTTTACCTATGACAGGGCCAGCCACAGAGCCTCCAAATCCCTGTTCTTTGCCTCATAAGTAACTAGCTGAACTGCTTGTCTCCACCAATCATTCTGAGCAAAATTCCTGTGTGGATGAGAAAAGTGTTGCCTGTCATCAAGCCGTCAGCTGCTGTAGCCACACCTACCGGTGCACCCTGAGGAGAATTCAGGATGGAGAAAAACAGGATACCGGCCCTTGATAGTTAAGATGCATATCAAAGGAATCGTTTTAATGAGCCCACATTCTTGCATCTTCCCAAACATGGAAAAGCAGTAAAATCATTAACGTGAGATGTCTGATATTTGTGATTAGCAGTAATCTTTTGCTGTTTGACTACATAGGTTTTGTTTGTTTACAAAAACTCCTATATGTCTAGGCTACTCCCTTACTTCTTTGGAACAGTTCCTATCTGAGAGGCTATATGCTGGGCTGGAGTCCTCAGTAATGTCCCCGAATAAAATATAACTCTCAGTGTTTAGGTTGTACATTTTTTGTCGGTTGACACTTTTTTTTTTGGCTTACAGGATCTTAGTGCCCCGACCAGGGATTGAACCCGCAACGTCAGCAGCGAAAGCATGGAGTCCTAACCACTGGACCGCCAGGGAATTCCCTGTTGACACTTGTTGACTAAACTTTGGTTAAATTCTCTCCTTCCTCCAGGCCCCTGAACTTTGGCCCACTCTCAGCCTGAGCCTGCAGACAGCCCCTCCTGAGAATAGACCGGCCTCAGGATAAAACACTCCCTGACCTCCTGTCCCATCATGCCTCCCTTTCATCCAACCTCCCAGTTCCTTCTTGCCTCTTTTTCTCCTCTTATAAAAGGAAAATTCTTTTGCCTAATCCTTGAGATGCTTGCAGAACTATGGTCACAGCACTGTCTCTGTTACAATAGCCCCTTTCCCCCTTTGCAATCATCCTTTCAAATCAAAGTCTCCCCTTACTAAGTCTGATTTTGTTTTTTTATTTGACAGTGAATGGACAGAGACTACAGTGTGTGTGTGGGGGGGCACTTGGCCTCTAAGAGCCCAGACAGGCCCCACTGCAAGGACCAAAGGAGATTCGAAACCAGGACCCCCTGATTCTAGAAGGACCCTCTGATTCTCTTCCACAATCAGGAAAGGGGTTCTGGCCTTTAACATTGAGTGTGAAGTGCTGCCAGCCAGGCAGAGAGAAACAGCCCTTTTGCCAGCTTGTTTGTGTTTTCAAAACTGGCTGGTTGAGATGAAATACAGGCACAGATGAAATGTTTTTAGAAAAGAAAAGAACGACAATCTTTCACCATGGGGTTTCACTTTCTGTAGTCTCCTTGCCAATCCACCACCTCCCCTCACTCCCCCGCCATCAAGCTGACAGACCCATCTGAGTGCTGCAAGAGGCACTGAACAAACAAAAGGAGTCATTTATGTCCGTGTTTGTGATTTTTCTCCATTTGATCAACAGCCTGTAACTTTAATATATCCAAGTGTGCTGGGAACGTTTGCGGCTTAATTATCACATTTATTTAAAATACACACAAACAAAACTCCAAACTGGAAAACAACATTTAGCTTGGCAACGGAAGAGATGTTTAGTTTACTCCAATTGTTTAAAGATGATGTGAAAACCGCCCACATACTGGCTCTTCCACTGATTGGTTGAGTGACCTAGGACTGGTCAATTACCTATTCTGTGCCTTCCTTCCACTTTGGTATGTTATCCTCACTGCCTCAGTTAGTGAGTCTAAGATGATCTTAAAAGTCTGGGCAGGAAAAAACATGGTGTTTTGTTGAGTGGACTCCACTGGGATGGAGGCAAAAAGTCTCTGACGTCAAGTCAGACAGACTGGTCCACGTATTGCCTCTCTGAGCCCTAGCGTTCTCCTCCAGGAAATGAGTAAGAGAACCTACATCCCAAAGTGGTGGTGAGTATTAATAAGACAGCTGTACATCTCAAACTATACCCCCTATTCTCTTGTTTGTCCCAGAATCCATACGTTCCAACTTCCCATTTGCCTACTGGTCCAGGCCCCAGTTCCTGTTCCTTGTTTCTGTCAGGCTTGTGACTACTTTGACCGATGGAATATGGCAGGAGTGACGCTATGGGACTTCTGGGGCTGGGTTTTAGAAAATAATGCAGCTTCTGCTTTGTTCCCTGGAACTCTCAGGAGCCTGGAGCACCCATGTAAGACGTCTGAGCCCCCTGAAGCCCAGGTACCGGGTACTTGAGTGAATGAGCCTTCAGAAGGTTCTACCCCCAACCATACAAGTCTTCCCAGCTGAATTCTGGATGTGACGGAACAGAGACAAGCTGCCTCTGCCGCGCCATCTCCCACCCCATCGAATCTGCAAGCAGGTATAATGGTTAGTACATGTACGAGCTTTAGAGTCGCTCAGGATTAAATAAAGGGAAGGGGGGTAACTCAGATACCTTCCACGCAGAGGGGGTGTTCCAGGAAGAGAAAACAGCCTGTCTGCAGGGGGCAGGGCAGGAGAGACCATAGGGGTGATTTAGAGCAAAGATCCCCAAAGTATGGGCGCTCCTACCGGTGATACAAGGGCTGCCTGGGGAGGCATTTTCTCCCACGCCCGGGAACGTTGAAGTGTCATCGTGGCAGTCATTTCATCAGGAATGCCTGCCCAGTTTGCACATGTATAGGCAATGACATCTTGGTCACAACCACCACCAGCTCTACGGCGATTACATGATGACATAGTCTGCAAGAGGCATCCTGGCTTCAGACGTTAAATGTGAAAAAGAATATGCATCTTAGAATAGATAAAGAGGGATAAGAAAACAGTACGATCATTAGGGGTTGGCAGAATATGGGAAAACTGGCAAAGGCCTTTCGCGAATGGGAGCCTCTTGGGAAGAACTCACGATGCGCGGCTTGGGTGAGCGTGTGGCAGGGGGCCAGGGACATGGCGGGGGGGGGGTGGCCCTTTCTGGCCATCTTTACATTCGGCTCTGTAGTCAGTACCCCCCCCAAACCAGGCCTTGCTGCCTCCAGGCCCAGCCCGTGGCTTTTTACATCTCCAGTAGCCCAGGTATCCCATCCGATAACCTGAAGAGGCCTGGGGTCTTCCTGCGCTGTCTTCCTCTAGCAATTTCAGTGCAGACTGAAAACGGAGTGGGGTGGGGTGGGGTGGGGAAGAAGCTTGAGATTCTGGGCTGTCTTCTTTCTGGGGGGGGGGGCCCTGCACCGCGGGGCATGTGGGATCTTAGTTCCCCGACCAGGGGTTGAACCCGCGCCCCCTGCATTGGAAGCATGGAGTCTTAACTGCCGGACCGCCAGGGAGGTCTCTGGGCTGTCTTGAGAGGGAGCAGCCTGGGCTCTGCTCCTCACAGAACGTT